CGCACCGCCGCCTGACGGGGTAGAGGCACCTCGCATTCCTAGAGCTCTGTTCCCGGTCGAGGCGACGTGCTCCTTCGGGGCACCACTTTTCTCCCCCGCGACCACTCCTTTCCCACCCGTTTTCCCCATGCCTTGCAGCATGTCCCGCATCGAAGCAAACGCATCAGGTGGATCGATCGGAGCCGCTACGGAGGTCTTCGGGCGGGGCGACTGGTCGAGTACGATGACTTCCTCGACGGGCTTGGCGACGGGATGACGGCCACGCGCCGGTGGGGATCCAACCGGGCTACCGACATGTCCTCCCACCGAAGAAGACGGAGGAACCGACCGCTCGTGACCACGAGGCTCAGCCCCGCTGCGAACCCCTCCCACACCCTCCTGACGCGACCTCGTCGACGGGCCCGCCGAGCGCTGAAAACCTCTCGCCATCGCTTCGGTGAGGACTTCCAACCTCCCTGCTTCGGCTTCATGGTAGCCTTCCCTCACAATGTCCTTCAGCTCCTTCATGGTCTCGGGTGGGAGGGTGGAGCAGAACATGTCCTCCATGATGGCTTTCTCGAAACCCTTCAGCACCGCAGCAACCAGCCGCTCCTCGACCTGCTTGAGCTGCTTCTCGACGGCGTCTTCGCTCGCTTTTGTGATGGCGGCTGCCACCCCCTCGATGATCTTCCCGCTCATCTCGTCGATCTTCGCCCGCGCCCCTTCCAACAGGTTCCTCTCCGCCGTGACACCCTTCACAGCCTCGGCGCACTGCGACAGTGTGCTCTTCGACGACTCCGAAATCGTATTCCACGCCGTCCGAAAATCCGCAGCAAGCCTGTTGAATACTCCGGCTTGCTCAGTGTGTTTCGCAAAGACATCGGCGACGAGCTGCTTCTGCGACGCCTCGACCTTCTCGACCCTCTGCAGTAGCTCGACGACCTGGCCTCCCGGTGCAACGTTCACCGTCGACTGGCCTGCCGTCGAAGGCCACCAGGTCGAAGGGCCCGCCTGTCCGCTGCCACTGGCCGTGCGGTGACTCCTTGTTACGGCGGCCTGTCGCTCATCTCCTCGACGATACTCCTCAGCAGCCTCCCAGTCCTCCTGCTCCTGCCCTCCCGACCCACCCACCCGCGCAGCCGCAACCCTAAACGCCTGCTGCTGCACTCCTGCCCCACCCTCCTGCGCAGCCGCCACGCCCTCCTCCTGCTGCCCTCCTGCCCCGCCCTCCTGCGCAGCCGCCTCGCCCACCACCTGCCGCTGCCCTCCGACCCCACCCTCCTGAGCAGCCGCTCCGCCCTCCTGCTCCTCGACAGCCTTAGTTTCCCCTGTCGCCTGCTGCTCGATAAGCTCTACTCGCTCGTCCACCCGCTCCCCGAGCGCCACTCCGTGCTCCCCCGTACGCTCCGTTCTATGTCCGGCGCCCTCGCCGTCGTCCTCGGCCGACTCATCGCTCGAGCTCGAGCCGGAGCTCGTTCCCGAGCTCGAGTCCTCGTCCTCGTTCGCATCGCCGCCCGGGCCGCTCGCCCCGTGCTGAGCCTGCCTCGATGTATCCTCCTCGATCTCCTCCTCCTCCTCGACGCTGTACTCAATCAGGACGCGTCCCGTCTTCTCGCCTCCTCCCTCGTGGTCGGCACCCCCTCCCACACCTGCTCCCTCCGCCAGCTGGTCGATCTTTCTCGAAAACAGCTTCACCATGAACAACGGAAGCACACCCGGGCCAGGGTTCGTTCTCCCTAGATGCACGAGTTCGCCCTGTCGAGGCTGTAGGATGAAGTCGTCCCATTTCGTCAGAATACGGCGCACCCCATGCACGACACGAGCTGCCGCGCCGTTTTCAAAGGGGCTCGACAAGGCCGTCGTCGCCTGCGACGGGTACAAAACATACGTAAGCGACAAAACACATGCTCGACGAAAACGCCGGTGGTCTAAGGAGAGCTTACCAGATGGTCGAACTCCTCGATCAACTCCAGACGAAGGTCCATCACGTTCAACACTTCTTCGTCGCCCTCGGTCAGAGCCTGGTGGGTCATCGCGTACTCGGCGCGAAGCTGCTTCTTCATCCACCTGCGACGCAGCGGACATAAGAGTAAGATTGTCGAGAACAGCAGATCGACAGCAGGGTGGCAAACCTGTCACTCACACGAAAACTTCTTGCGCCAGGGAAGATTGGTGGTTCATCTCGGGGAATTTGTCTTTCGAATCGAAGTGCATCATTCGAGTTCGACTGCCGCGGTGCCTCGGAGCCAGCAGATCGTCGGGGCGCGATACCACAAACAGGCTCGAGTGGGAGAACGGAGGCACACTCAGTCTGCATGCAGAGCCAATGCACGTGAGAACGGGTTCAGGGCTAAAGACGGAGCACGCAAGGCGACGGGAGAGTAGGCAACGGTAGAGTGTCGAACTCACGGTGTCCGCAGCAGAACGAAAACCACTTGCTTGCCGAGGAGGCCGTCGAGGTGGTTGTTCGCAAAAGCGACCGGGGTGGGGCGTGCCATCTCTTCACGCGCACGCGTCGGAGTCACGATCGACACCTTGGGGAGCTGCTCGACGGACAGCAGCTCATGACAGAACAGGCTGCACGGAAAGCTAAGGCAACGTCAGCGATTGGTAAACCCAAGCATGGCAAACCGAAAATGTTCGACAGGACACGTACACGACGCCCGCGACCATCATGCTCTCGTCGAGCTCTCCTTTCGGCGCCTCTCTAATCGCATTCAGCTGGTCCTCGTACACCTCCACCTCGACCCCGCCGGCACTAAGGATGAGGCCGCGTCGAACCGTCGCCTCGTTCATGACGGGTACGGAGGCGGAGCTCGTAGCCATGTCAGGCCTAGCAGTGGAGAGGGCGGGCGTGCAGGGGAGTCGGGAACTAGCAGGGACTAGGAAGTAGGGAAGTAGAAATCGGAAACACCAACAAAATGAGACCGGACGAAGGGTATTACCTGTTTGCCATCCCTCCCACCGCGACGGACCAGGGGGGTTCAAGGGCGAGGAGGCAGGGCGCGTTCCGTTGACGCTGGAGGAGGAGGGAGGAGCTCTTCGCGGAGGCCGGCGGGGCCCTATTGGCGTCGACGTGAAACGTGGGGTGGGCCGCCTTGCGTGCAGCCGAAAGGCCCCTTCCAAGGTTCGGGAGGGGGCCTTCGACACGTCACCAAAATCGTGCGGGTTGAACAAAACGGGTTGGACGACAGCGGTGGAGCGCGGCGCAGATGGGCGTCGATGTCGTCCGGCCTGCGAAATTTCGCCGACTGGTTCCGTCGGCGATGCGTCGCTCGGCGAGGGATGGGCGGGTTACCGGACGGAACCCGTCCACGAACCGAGCGAGGGGTTGGGCTCGGTGGGGAGGGGGACCACTGCGCGGGCTGCTGGCGTCATCGGCAGCTGGCGCCAGCAGTTTTCGGGCGGGAGGGGGGGGTCGGCTCCCGCCCCTCGCGTGCCCCGCTAGGCGACGGCGGGAAAACGGAAATCCCTCCGAGGAAAACCCGCAGGGGCGAAAGGGGGTCCTCGGAGGGATTCGGGCGAGGTCTTCCCGTTTACCAGCCACTATTTTACAAAACTGCTCTCCACCACATCTGAACCATTTATGAATTGAGGTGCAGTACCGACGTCAAAATTAGCAGGAATGGGCCCTCACGGTGCTTGCTTACTTCAATAACAATTGATGCTCATGGTTGGTTCTGGTGTGCATTGGTTCCAAGCGGTAAATGCACTATCGCTCTTAACCGCGATTTAATACACTGAACCGCGAGTTTAGCAATGAATGTGCAACCGCGAGTTCGGCAATGAATGTGGTATGGGTCTCACTCACCAGAGTCGTGTCTTGCTTGATTCATGGTCACGCAGCAAAGCAGAGGAGAGGTGAATCTGGGAACACGAGGTCGCACTTGTCGCTGCAGCTGCTCCTTGGGCATCTTTACGGGTTAGCCCAGCAAGACAGTTCGAAGTTCCATTCAGTTGTGGATCGTATGCAATAGATTACTGTCAAGGCTCGTCTGCTAGTAGCTCTGTTCACCGTGCAAGAAATTTGTTTTCAGAATTTTCGAGAATCTCTCGCCGTCATGTCGTCTGACGAGAGTCGTCTGCGCGAGGTTGTCACGGCGATTCTAGAAGCCGGCGACCTGGAAGAATTGACTGAGAAAAAAGTTCGTCAGTTAGCGCGCGAGAAGACGGGGATTGACACGTCAGCAGATGCGAACAAGCAACTAATCCACAAGATAGTTAAAGCCTTCGTGGAGGAGGAAGCGGAGGATACAAGAGCGAAAAAACGGAAGAAGCAGAGAAAGGGATCGGATGAGGACAGCGGGAGTGAGAAGGAGGAGGAGGAAGAGGAAGAAGAGGAGAAAGGGAAAGGGAAGTCACGGAAAGGAGGGAAGAAGTGGAAAGTGGGAGACGGCGGAGAGCTTGTGATTTGCGAGGTGAGATTGAGTGGTGAGGTGAGATTGAGACGTTTTAGATACGGTTGGCAGAGTATAGGCCATTGGAAAGGCGGGAAGAAGTGGAAAGTAGGTGACGGCGGAGAGCTTGTGACCTGTGAGGTATGATTACACGTATTAGATGTGGTTGACATGTGTGACATACGGTTGATTGACAATGAGAGAAGGCTGACAGGGTTTAGGTAAGGTTGACAGGGTTGAGATAAGGTTGACAGGGGTGAGAGAAAACTGCCAAGTCATCTTGCTCTCTCAAGGCAGTCCAGCTCTTTGGACAGAGAACTCATCGGCGGCGGAGTGGGACAGGTTCGGGTGCAGGGTTGGGGCTAGGGTCGGCGAAGGGGTTCGAGAGGTATGATATGGTACAGGTGGCTGTGGATAAAGAGGTGATGGAAGGGTTTATATGGGTTGGCTTCGTAGGGGGGGAGGAGAGGAGGGGGGATCTGCAGCGGAGGTATCGCCTGAGAGACTTTTTGAGAATTCTCAAAAAACACTCTTTGCAGCGGAGGGATTACCTGAGAGACCAGAGGATAGGTTGAGAGGTCAGGTGGTGGTATGGTTGCTGCGACGCACGCGTCGGGCTTGCTCATGTCTAAGTTGACAGTGAGTTGAAGGGGCGCTTGCTCGTGTCTGTAGTCGATTCTGAAGCCACCCTGTGTCAACTCTCCCCCCTCCCTCCCTCCCTCCCTCACCCCCTCAGCCTGATCATATCATTGCTGCAGCTGTCTGGGAAGTGCAAGTTGACAGTGGGAGGATTCAAGGGGCGCTTGCTCGTGCCTGTAGTCGATTCTGAAGCCACCCTGTGTCAACTCTCCCCCCTCCCTCCCTCCCTCCCTCACCCACTCAGCCTGATCATATCATTGCTGCAGCTGTCTGGGAAGTGCAAGTTGACAGTGGGAGGATTCAAGGGGCGCTTGCTCGTGCCTGTAGTCGATTCTGAAGCCACCCTGTGTCAACTCTCCCCCCTCCCTCCCTCCCTCCCTCACCCACTCAGCCTGATCATATCATTGCTGCAGCTGTCTGGGAAGTGCAAGTTGACAGTGGGAGGATTCAAGGGGCGCTTGCTCGTGCCTGTAGTCGATTCTGAAGCCACCCTGTGTCAACTCTCCCCCCTCCCTCCCTCCCTCCCTCACCCCCGCAGCCTGATCATATCATTGCTGCAGCTGTCTGGGAAGTGCAAGTTGACAGTGGGAGGATTCAAGGGACGCTTGCTCGTGTCTGTAGTCGATTCCGAAGCCACTCTGTGTCAACCCTTCCCCCCCCCCTCCCTCCCTCACTCCCTTGGCCGTATCACATCATTGCTGCAGCTGTCTGGGAAGCTCAAGCTAGCAGTGAGTGAGTTCAAGGGGCGCTTGCTGGTGTGTTGAGCCGACTCAAACTGAAAAACCATCCCATATCTTCCCTGCCTTTCCTCACCGCCCTTTGATGTATCCTTGCTGCAGCTGTCTGGGAAGCTCAAGCTAACAGTGAGTGAGTTCAAGGGACGCTTCCTGGTGTATGGAGCCGACTCAAACTGAAAAACCATCCCATATCTTCCCTGCCTTCCCTCGCCGCCCTTTGATGTATCCTTGCTGCAGCTGTCTAGGAAGCGCAAGCTAGCAGTGAGTGAGTTCAAGGGACGCTTCCTGGTGTGTTGAGCCGACTCAAACTGAAAAACCATCCCATATCTTCCCTGCCTTCCCTCGCCGCCCTTTGATGTATCCTTGCTGCATCCCTCCCTCCCTCACTCCCTTGGCCGTATCACATCATTGCTGCAGCTGTCTGGGAAGCGCAAGCTAGCAGTGAGTGAGTTCAAGGGGCGGTTGCTGGTGTCGATACGCGAGTACTATGAAAAAGGCGGCAAGGAGATGCCTTCCTCTAAAGGTGTGTGTATTATCCCTCCGACCCTCGGACCCCTCTAACACGTGAGTGAGTGGCGCTTGCTGGTGTCGATACGCAGGTACTATGAGAAAGGCGCCAAGGAGATGCCCTCAGCTAAAGGTGGGTGCATAATTTGTGTCCTACACCTCGCTTCACCGATACAATATCACCTTCACCACCACTTCTAGATAGACCAGACCAGATGTGCCTACGACATCTGTTAAAAATATATGTTTTTCGTTCATCACAAACATGTGCCTTCAAAATTTTTGTGTGCGGGCAAGCGTTTTCCAGTTCATCACCTCCTTACCATTCTTTTCTTCTTGACTGTATTCTCTTTTCATGCAGGTATCAGTCTTCCTCCTGACCAATGGGACAAGCTGGTTAGGCACATTGATACTGTACAAGAGGCCATTGACCACTTGTCATAGTACACTACTTTTGATTCGCCTCGCAACTTTGCACAGTATAGGAAGCTAGTGTACACTAGGCATAGTGCATAGATATACTTTTGTGGCAACCTGACCAATGGGATAACCTGTGGTGAGGCACATTGATTTGTACAGGAGGCCACTGAACACTTGTCAAGAGGTGGCTTCAGGTTTTGCTAGTGAATTTAATGTTTACAGGTGTTACGGTTGCAATGAATCGAGGTAGCGAGAATTGCACTTGTTGGGAACAATAAGTCTTAAGCGCCTCTGTCGTGTCGAAACTCAGGACGCTAGCAAAGCAGTCCGAATCGAAGCATCGCGAGTCAACCCTCGGAGGTTAGGGTAACCGCCTGGAGGTTACAAGAAAGTCAAAGGTCAGCGACCTTTGACTCGACAATTACAGCGCGACAGCAAGGACACACAACTGACTCGACATTGAGCAGTTGCCCGAGTCGCACTGTATCGAATCGCAACAGTAAAACGGTTTAAACCTATTCATTCGTATTCCTTGTACTCTTATATAAACCTTTGTATTTGCTTGTTTAATCAACTTTACTTTGCCCTCACATACTAGCTCAAGGTGGTTCAATGACTTTCATTCAAACGCTTCCGCTATTACAATCCTACTCAGTCCTTAAACTCTACAAAGATCCTGGGGCTTCTCAGCCCAACATGGTATCAGAGCAGTTAGAGTATAACGGCTATCTTTTCTCTCAACACTCAATACAAAGAAATTAGACATGTCTGCAAGGAAGGAGAGGAGCTCCTCCAACGGCTCACCAAGCACTACTCCTACTCCACCTCTTGCCTCTGGTCTACAGACAGAGGAAGGCACTACCGCAAGACCAGCAGCTGGGTCCACGGAAACACCCGCAGGCTTCGATCCAAACATGATGGAAAATTTTTTCTCCTTCATGTCCTTCTACGAGCAACACCAGCAAGGAGTGCCTGCGCAGTTAAACAACAGCAACAACAACAACGTTACTCCGATGAGTCTCGACGGCTCATCCTACGCACGCGGGATTCAACAACAACAACAGCAGCCTACCTTTGCGCCGTACGAGCCCCAACGTGGCTCCGTCAGCTTCGTGCCGCAACCGCAACCTGCGTCGGGACAAGAAAGGACATTGGATGCGTTACAAGTCCAATCGCAATTCGCGCATGTCCTAAAACTACAGACAACAAAGCCTTTCGACGGCAAAGATTTCTTCACCTGGTTGTTCGAGTTCGAACTGATGATGGAAGGAGCACAGATTCTTGGCTTCTTCGACGGGTCCCTGCCATATCCAACAAACGGGACACAATATGAGAAGCAGCAATATGCATATCAGTCGATGATGGCGTACACGATTCTGCTGAGGAACATCACCCCAACCCAGCAGCAGAACATCAGGACTTACCGAGGCTACGGCAACTCCGCGGAGCTCGCGTACAACCATCTGAAGAACCTGTATCAAGCAACAGACAGCGTAAACCAAAGCAGGTTAATGGCACAGTTTACAACGATTGAAATGAAACCAGGCGAGAAAGGCATGGCTTATATCAGCCGCTGCCGCGAACTGCGCGACAAGCTTCTTCGATGCGGCGGGTCAATTTCAGAAGACGCCTTTGTCACGGTGGTCATCGGCGGTCTCGGCCCCCACTGGCGCTCCACTCGCGCCATATTACGAGCACACGGGAGGATCTCCGAAGCGGCACTCTGCGCCGAAATTCATGCTGAGCAACAGGACATGGACCTGCAAGAAGAAAGACACAATTTGAAAGCATTAGCACCAGAATTTGCTTTTCACACTCAGCGTCGACACAACGGCAACAACAATCGACAACAGCAAGTGAAAACGGTACCTCCGTTCTGCCACATCTGCAAGACCTCGGGCCATCCTCGCACGCATTGCCCGTCTCGTCAGACGACACCACAGCGACAACTGCGGCGTTCAAGCTCCCAAGTTGCTTCAACGCAAGCAAGTCCGACGACCACGATCCAAACTTCAACGACTTCAACTGGACAACCTGCACAAGGAACAAGAAGCATCGTCAACTGCATGGTGAAGATAAACGACTCGTGCACAACCGAATCACCACCGCACTACTCACCGGAAGAAGAGCTTGACAACAGGACGCCTCGCCGCGAATCACTCCAGCCGAATCCAACGTACGCCGCAATCGCTCAAAGCGAACCGTCCGGCCAAGACACTTGGTTCTTGGATAGTTGCTGCGGGCAACACATGTGCTCCTCCGGGCGCTTCGTACAACGCGAACATCGACTCCAGCGAGAAGTAGTCATCACGGTCGCCAACAACCAAAACCTGCGCACAAGACGACAAGGAGTCGTTCAGCTTCAATCAAGAGAAACCAACGTCATACTACACATGTCGAAAGTACTCATCGCAGAAGGACTTGGTTACAACTTACTGAGTGTTAGCCAGCTGATGGCGAAGGGGATTCACCTGGAAGCCGACAGCACCACCCAGGAGTTCAAGTTATACCACGGGAGGGGCGGTCTCTACATCGGGAGAGCAGTGTTGAAGAACAACGTCTTCGTTCTTGACTTCGTCCCCGACCTAGGCACTGCAGACAGCGACGCCATCGTCAACTTTACCGACTGGACACACCCTCCGGACCTCGATCCCGACTTCAGCCCAGGAGGCTTCTGGTACTCACACACCATCCCTGAAGCAGAGCGAACACGAGCATTAGCAACAATTCAACAATCGGCAGCAGCAGAGACAACACTGGCAGCAGCAGAGACAACAATAGCAGCAGCAGAGACAACATCGGCAGCAGCACGAACAACAACATCAGTCATCGTCGACGAAGAACCACCAACACCCGCACAACAGCTGAACCCTACTCAACGAGAAGTCCACCGCAGCGCCAACTTCGTCGCCAGTTTTTACTCCAAATCTGGCACGCACGCACAGGGCATCCAAGCAACACGGTATTAAACAATACGATACGAGCAGGAGTGCTTGACAAAGATTCGCTACTACTACTCGACGGGAGAGAACTTCAACGGGCACGAGGAACTTGCCACATCTGCCCTAAAGCCGACTTACCCCATCGACCGTTTTCTTCTCATCACAACCCGAGCGCACCTGCATACGCACCACTCGAAAAGGTCTATAGCGACATCCTCTACAATCGAGAACCAGGCCAAGTGACCTATAATTACACGATCACCTTCATCGACGCCGCCACTCGATACGTTTGGCATTGCAACCTACCCAGCCGCGACATGGCACTCGCAGCTTTCGCCGCCTGGCTACCGATAGCAAAGAGGGAATCAGGAACGCAGCTGAAAAGCTTCCAGTCAGACGGAGGTGGCGAGTACACCTCTCAGCGCTTCAAGCAGTACCTGGCGGAAAGGGGAATCAAGCAACTCCTCTCCCTTCCCTACGCACATCAGCAGCAAGGTGTTGCAGAAAGAATGAACAGGACTCTGCAGAACAGCATGCGCAAACTGTTACGTGGCATGCGGCTACCCAACCACCAGTGGCCAGCAGCAATGGACCATGCTGTTGTCAAACATTATATGTTTGTGTGGTTCTAGGCTGTAGTGGGTCACACCATAAGGGGTACACCAGATTAGGGTTTGACATATTTGTACTGTTGTTCCTGCTAGTCACTCCTCATTCTCGTTTCTCATTCTGACATGGTATTACGAGCCTAGGTTCCACCTAGGACCGAAACGATAGGGCCCACCGTTTCCGCTAGCTGCGCCCTCGTGCGCCGCCGTTCTTTTTCCTGCGCCTCGAGCGCCTCCTTCTCAAGGCCCCGTATGGCCCCGCGCTAGCCTCTCACGGCCCCCGATCGGCCCCGCGCTAGCCTCCTAAGGCCCCCGTCGGCCCCACGCTAGCCCCGCGCTAGCCTCCTAAGGCCCCCGATCGGCCCCGCGCTAGCCTCCTAAGCCCCCGTCGGCCCCACGCTAGCCCCGCGCTAGCCTCCTAAGGCCCCCGATCGGCCCCGCGCTAGCCTCCTAAGGCCCCCGTCGGCCCCGCGCTAGCCTCCCACGGCCCCTGCAGGCCCCGCGCTAGCCTCTCACGGCCCCTTAAGGCCCCACGCTAGCCTCCCACGTCCCCTGCAGGCCCCGCGCTAGCCTCTCACGGCCCCCCCCTTTGGCCCCGCGCTAGCCCCGACCGGCCCTCTTGCGCTCGCCCCTCTACGACCGAGCCGCACGGCGCGACCCGAACCGAACCGCGCGACCCAGCCGAGCCGCGCCGCCCCAGCCGAGCCGCGCCGCCCTAGCCGAGTCGCGCCGCCCTAGCCGAGTCGCGCCGCCCTAGCCGAGCCGCGCCGCCCTAGCCGAGCCGCGCCCTACTTACCTGTGCACAGCACTGCTACTGCTACTGCTACTGCTACTGCTACTGCTACTACCACCACTGCTGCTACTGCTACTTCAGCTATGGCTAGCCCTACAGTTCTCTCGTTCGATTCTGAGGGCCGCCCGATTAAGTTTGATACCTGGCTCGATGATCTGCATCTGTTCCTCCAGCTCACTGCCAGAGAGGATATCTCGCTGTACGATCACGCACTAGGCACAGTCCCTGCTCCTGCTACTATTGCTACCGCTACTGCTCGCTCGCAGTGGCAGACTCGCGATGCCCACGCCCGCTTTGCTATTCGCAACTCCCTGCCAGTAGATGAGCGTGAGCACTTTGGCCAGCATCAGACTGCGCAGGCCCTATACACTGCTGTAGTTGCGCGCTACTCCTCCCCGGCCTCAGCTGCACTAGGCCGTCTCTCCCTTCCCTACCTGTTCCCCGACCTGTCCGCTTTCCAGACAGTCGCTGACCTCATCACTCACCTCCGTACTAGTGATGCCCGCTTCCGTGCAGCCATGCCCGCTGAGTTTCTTGCCTCCAACCCTCCCCCGCTCTGGCTCACTCTCTACCACCTAGTCACCCGCCTCCCTGACACTATGCGTACAGTCAAGGACCACTTCCTAGCTCGCTGCCCCACTGAGCTCACCATTACCGCCCTAGAGAAGGAACTACTTGCAG